CTGCAAATGGATTTTATGGGATGGCAGTGGTAATATAACAAGTCACAATACACGAAGATATCACACTCTGTGTGATACAGAAATTTTTGTAAAGGTCGAAAATTCTGGCATTTGGAACTTTCAGAGTTAACATACAAGATGTTAACAAAAAGTGTTACAGGGCTTAAGGTGGTATATAGTAATCACTTAAATTAGCAAAATGTCCCAGACAACATACTCGTATGTCCATAAACCAGTTGCTGCTGATATGGGCGATGTTCGTGTGATCCCTACAGCAGACGCTCTATTTACTTCCTGTGTAGTTCAACGCAACTTTCAGCTCTTCGTCGCATATGAGTGTGTACTCTTTTGAATATACCCTGTTTCGCTCGAATATCCTGACAGACAATCTCTACTCGTTTCTGCAACATCTCGAAGTCATTGATCAGCGCTGAATACACCATTCTATAGTTTTTTTTTTAATTCGCTTAGTGGGGGGTGGAGTCCAACTGGGTTCACTCGGTACGGCGGCCACTGATTGGCCTATTGTACCTGCACCGGGTGATTATGATAATAAAGAATTTCGTGGAATGAAGATTGGCAAGGGAAACAGAAGTCCTCTGAGAAAATCCGCCCCAGCGCCACTTTGTCCACCACAAATCCCACTTTACCAGACCCGTGATCGAACCCGGGCCTCCGCGGTGGGAAGCCAGCGACTAAAAGCTTGAACTATGGCGCGGTCCTAGTCTATAGGTTATCCCACAGTAAGAAATCCAGAATATTGAAGAAAGGGGATCGTCCTGGCGAGTTCATCCGCTGTTCACCGAAAGTCTGATTCAGGTGCTGTCCGAAAATTCAGAGAAAATGAGGTTGTGTCCCATCATGCATGAACCACATATGTTGTCGTTGATGAAGGAGTACATGTTCCAAGATTTCAAGTATTCGCCTAAAAACGATGGTACACTGCACCTGTCAGTTTGCTAGGTCGAGTCAAATGGTCATAATATTTGATCACCGAATATGCCCACCCAGACATTGATGAAAAATATATGTTGGTATTTTGACATCATGCTGGTGTAGGGATTGTCATCCGCCCAAACATTTTTTTCCCTTTGGTGTTACAGCCCCAGTTTAGACCTTGGCCTACTTCAATGAATTTCTCCACTTCACTTTGGTTTACTAGATCTTAAATATTCGGTAGGACTCTTTGGGCGGGTGATCAGTTCGTAGCAAGGCCTCTGCCTGACACAAACACAGAAAAACGAGCGCGCTCACACATACACTAAACATCCATGTCCTGAGTGGGATGCGAACCCACGATCTCGGCTTCCGAGCGAACAAGAAAGTGCATGCCTTACACCGCTCGGCTACCGTGACCGGAATACCCCCAGACATGGGTGTAAAGAAATTCACATTACCGTCCCTTATGAATTCGTCTCATCAGTAAACAGGATGTTAGCTACAGACTGTGTTTAGAACGCATTTGTGCGGAGCCATTGGCAAATTAAAACCGTTGAACGGTGGTCAGGAGGAGTAAGGACTTGCACCCGCTGGATGCGCTGTGAGTATAGGAGTAGTTCATGGCGAATTCTCCAGACAGGGGGAAAACCAATACCGTCAGCAGCTGCATTCCTTCTCACACTGGTTCCAGGATCCTCTTCCATTTTCACAGTACGCATAAACTCGCCCATGTCTCAACAGGCATTGCTGTTTTGTGTGTTGACTGAGAATATTTTGTTCATTTAAGGTAGTGTTACATCCCTTTAAAGCTGTTAACCATTTTCAACACCCTGTATTATTGATGTATTTGTCTGAACTGACTGAAAGCCACTAAAATATTTAATCGTTGTATAGGTTTCAGGGCTGGCACACATGCTCGGTGCACGTCTATCTGATACGATAATGTTACATTGAAGGAATGAATGAATGTATAAGGGGTGGGCTTTCTAGGCCCTTGTACCGCGACCACAGTGATCTATTGTGCCTCCCCTTCTGATTATCCCCTCAGTAATTCTGCGCTGTTACATCTCTCTTTTGAAGTTTCCTGGATATTCAGACATTTTGGAGAATAACGATTTGAATAGCTTTCTTTTTCTTAGTCACAAGCGAAGAGCACAAGTCGGTAGAATTATACACGTATGACGTTAATTTCGTAATAGGTCCATTTCGAAAGTGAATTTTTACAATCACAACTGAAAATTACAGAAGAATAGTGTTCTGAGTACATTCGAATTACTGTATTTAGCCTGAACTTCATTTCTCTATCATTATTTGTACATTAACTCCAACATTCCTTGAATATAAAACGTTATTTTACGAAACAGTTGTGTGAAAAGAGGCGTCCGATAAACGCCGTTTCAGACGTTATATAGTCTAAGTTATTGACTGACTGACTGATTCACTCACTCACTCACTCACTCACTCACTGACTCATGGAGCTGAGCCCTTCTTGAGAAGCCGCCACTTGTGCAGCTACTCAGGAACTTCCCAACATTATGGAACCCGAAGTTTCATTACCTTGTCCAAAAGAGCCCTCCACTGGTCCCTATCCTGAGCCTGATAAATCCAATCCATACCATCCCGTCCTATTTTCTAAGATCCATTTTAGCATTGTTCATCCACCTACGTCTTGGTCTTCCCAGTGGTCTCTTCCCATCTGGCTTTCCCACAAATATCATATATGCATTCCTCGTCTCCCCAATTCGTGCTAGATGCCCTGCCCATCTCATCATCCTTGATTTGATCATTCTAATTATATTTGGAGAAGAGTACAAGTTTATGAAGCTCCTCATTTTGCAGTTTTCTCCAACCTCCTGTCACTTCATCTCTCTTCGGTCCGAACATTCTCCTCAACACCCTGTTCTCAAACACCCTCAGTCTACGTCCCTCTCTTAATGTCAGAGACCAAGTTTCACACACAGACAGAACCACAGACAAAATTATATTTTTGTATATTCTAATTTTTACATTTTTGGACAGCAGACGAGAAGACAAAAGTTTCTGGACTGAATGGTAGCAAGCATTACCCGAGTTCAATATCCTCTTAATTTCCTCCTGAATCAAGTTT